TCTTGATCAAATAAATGTTTTTCTCTATTCATCCATTTATTTATATAATCTCTAAGAGGAGACATTTATATTTTCTAAATATCAGTATTTTCTTCTAAGTGCACAGAAATGATCTTGTGTCTCAAAGCTAATTAACATATGAAGAATCTGTTTCAAATACTAACGAGAATTTAGGAAATTTTTGAAGTACACTAAAAGTGGGAAGCCCGTATCTAACACTGACTGACCATGATCACTTGGGAAAAATGGCATTTGAGCTCCTTCTTGTTGCTATAGACATAGGCTCAAAAAACCTGCTCCCACCACATATGTACACAATTCATGCACAGGTATGTGTGAATACATTTGTATTATTCTAGGCTTGGTCTCTCATTTTGATTAACAATATTAGTCATTTTTTTCAATTCGATAAGTGAGAAATTTCTGAATTTAATAAGCCTGTCAATTTTATCAATAATCTTATAAACCATCCTTTCATATTACTGTCTGAGGACTTCAAAATATTTATCAAACATTAATTCATCAAATTTCAATGTGCAGGTGATTATATTGTCTTGACTTTATTCTACATAGGTTAAGTAAATGTGTATGGAAATATATAAAGGAAGAAAAAACAAAAATATCTATAAGAGCTTATTCCATTAGCATACTATGTTTAATTACTTGAATTTCATAAAGATTGTGAAATGAGGATATAAGCATATAAATTATTTCCCACTTCTATTTTAATTTAGAATACGCATTTTTTCCAAGGAAATTGTCAGTTGCCTAAAGACAAAGGACACAGATGGAGAATTTGGGAAGAGTTAAACCGGGCACACTCAGTCTCTTCTCCCAAAATAAGCACCAAGTCATTCTTCCTGCCTTTCTTAGAAACAGGTAGGATCTTTGAACACTCATTAAATACAAAGGTACCCTCAGATTAAGCCAGGCTTCTCATTAGGCAGATTTAGCACAGATTCATCATTAGATGGCACTCCAGCCTAACATCCAAAATAACTGAATCTACCAACATGTCTTCTCAGACATCCTCACAATCCAGTGTCCACAGCATGACAAACATGATCAACTCCATCCATCAGTTTGATCCCTGTCCTGGGATTACTCTAGTTTTCTACTTTGTGAACAACAATTCTTCCTGACTTTGTCTTGTTCCTTCCCTCCAGAAGCAACATGCCTGTGTTGATTTCTGGAGGGAGCAAGTATGCTCAGCTTTGCCCTTCCTGGATTTTCTTTTCAGGGTGACCTGGCCTCATGATGAATTAGAGAACTTCCTCTACAGCTGATTATATGACCTGTCTCTATAGGGGAGGGCTATGACAGTAGATTAATTTCAATGGAGGAGGAATAGTTTTCATATAGAAAGACTATATGGCCATGAATCTAAGCCATGTTGATCCTCATTAGCAAAAAGTTAATAGTTTTTATCTTTTCCTACTATCTTCCTCAATTGACCTTGAGCTTAGTAAAGAAGAAGATGTCAATATTGCCCCTAACCCTCCCAGTCATGTTTTTAAATATTATCTCTGTGTTAATGAGTATCAAATACGCCAGCCTGGGCATCTTCATACTCTCATTCCAGAAGGACCTGCAGTCCTCACCTTACTGTACGCAACATAGTATACTTTCCTGTGCACTATCAGGGATTCAAGGTAGTCTCAGGAAATACTGGTATAGAAGCTCCATTAAGGGAAAGATTTGTTCACTGCTGTACTCCAGTGCACGCGACAGTGCCTTGGGTATTAATAGGAACTGAGTATCTACTTATTGAATAAACATAAATATACTTTAGATATCTACTACATTGTCCATTTGGTGCTAGGCATTATTAGGTGATGATACTAAGTATATTTGTATTGTGTTAATAGTTTTCTAAGTACTCACATTTGATCCTTTCAATGACTCTGTAATATAGATAGAGAAGATACTATTTTCACTTTTAAAACATGGAAATTACAGGTCAGAAAGGTTAAATCTACTATTAGAACTTGGCCTCAAATGCAGGCATTGTAATTCTAATTTCAGAGCTCTTTCTTGATTTAACATGGTACCTCTTGCATTAAGGTTAATGCTTCATTAAATACTTCCACATGCAGTACTGAAATCATTTGTTGATTTATTGCACAAGATACATATTTACTGCATAAGATACATGTTTCATGTTGATGCGTGTAAACTTTAAAACACATATTTTCTTTAATTTTATCAATCTGTTTCAGTATGATCCCTGCCCCATTTGTACCAAGAGTACTTGAAGAATCTGCTGAACAAGATTCTTAAGCCCTATTACAAAAGTACTGACTTTTACTGATCAGACTCCCTGTGTATGGGTCAGATATTTCTAACAGGCACCCCATCTGCATACTAAATTTCAAGATCCACTAGATTCAATGGTCACTTCTTAGCTTTTCTCCAAACATTCTATTTGTAAATGCTTACACAAAAGCTTGCCAAGTAGCTATTATGAACTATATATTCTCCAAATATACCTTGTCCTATTGTAGTTTTTCACTAGAGTTTTAACTTTCTGTCCTAATCCTTTTACAAATTCTATCCATTCTAACAGGCATGCTCAAACACAATTCTACCATGAAGACTTTAATGATAGTTTTCCTCTTAAATGCTTTCACACTTGGTCTTTATCAGTTTAATCATACTAGACTATATCAAATAAAATTGTTATCAACAACTCCTTCTGGACAGCAAGAACTGTACCTGATATACCTTAGTATGTCACTGTGAATAATGTTAAATATTTATTATAAATAAAGGACAGTGAACTGCTCCCAGAAAATTAGCAAAAACAAATATTGAATATCTCGGGGAGATGAAAGATGTGATGGAAACCAAATGTCTAAGGTATTACAGTACTACTTCTACAAGAAAAGGCCCAGGCAGTATTTGGCAAATAGTAGGTACTCCATGATTTCTTCCATTGCCTGAAAGATACTAAATATGAATTAGCTGACAAAAAAAAGAACTAAATTCTTCACGTTAGCTACTATGATATCATACTATGAATAAATTCTAAGAGATTAGTCAACTTTATTTATAAAATTGGAAAAATATGAACATTTAAGTATGTTTCTTCTTAATACATAGAAATGTTTCAAGATAGTTGGATTCCTATTTCTGCACTATTTTATTAATATTTACCACTTTTTAAACTAGACACATGTCTTGAGATTTTTGCTAAGCCCCTAATGAAATAAGGCAATTTGGGGCCAAAGGTAGAGAGTAATGATACAAAACCATGTCCTACTCTATTAATTTAGGATTTTTCAAGGTGTTTGAAATTTATTAATATCTCAAGGGATACTGTTGGTTACTGTTACCTTAGTCCTACTATAAAGTATCAGAAATAACAAGATCCAATTAATTTAACAGAATTTCATTTAATAAGTATATTTAAAGTTCATCTCTTCCAAAAACAGCATTTTAATTACATTCAAATTGTATTCATTTTAAATATCAACAAACCCATCATTTACATACAGGGATAGATATTATAAAACAGATGGAAATTAAAACAAGTCTTATTTTTTAAAAGTCCCTCCAAATTTAGAACACTGTGAACTACTAAATACATACTAAAAATGTATGTGTTATCAGGAAAACACAAGTTGCTCTAATAGGAAAGAACTATAATATACATACAATGGAACATAATTCACATAGGCTCAATTTACAGGTATGTCTCAAAGTACAAAAAAAATTAACTACAAATACAGGCAAAAATCACACCTTACATTCTAGACTAATGCACCAATATATAATGTTTTCCCGGAGAAACAGAAGGGTTCTCAAGATTTTCCACTGACCCATGATTTTCAAGTCTTTGTTCTCAAATACAGAAGTGGAGGACGTAGGTTCCTTTTTGTGTTTAATTCAGTCATGTTTAGGGGTTTTATTAATAACAACAACTGAAATGTATTATGAGAAATGCTACCAAACCTGTTCTATTTAGAGCTCAGTAACCGAGACATTTCTCTCATTCTTCCCTATACTTCCATTTTCCCTTCAAAAAGTCTCTCAAAGTTCATATAGAGTGGTAGTAAAGAGATCAAAGATGGCAAAGACATATAAGACTTGGCACTAGCACAGGTTTATAAAAAATCATCCCCCATTTATTAAATCATATATTCAAAAAAGGAAAATTGGATCTGAAAATGTAAGTCAGAGAAAACATACAAAAAAAATTATATGGAAGAAGGCATTTTGAATTGTGGTGCTTATGGGCTTTAGTTTGGAAGACTTCCAAGCAATCAACCTACCAGTAACTGTGGAGTATTTTTTAAATTTATATTAACTTGTTTAAATTGTTAACCTGTCTAAATCAAGTTTCTATAGCCAAAACAAAAAGTTCACAATTACTGTGCTCAAATGACAGATGTGTGAAGGTTGTTAAGTGAGAGGAAGGAGTGTGGTACACGTCAGGTTAAGAGGCAGAAGGAGAAATAAATCTAAGCACTCAATCTGATCTGACCAAAGGCAAGGAGGAATTCTTTGCCTTTCTTCAGATTTTATACTGTATTTCATAATCACAGAAAAAGAACATCCCTCCTTTTTTTCTTAATGTGTCTCAGGTTAAAGATGGCAGAAGGAATACCCCTTAATATCTATATTTAAAAGGGACATTTTTAGAATTTGGTTGGTTGTGGGGTTTTTTTTTTTAATGGTAAGTATTAAGAGTTGACTCTTAAAATTATATTTAGAAGTATTTAGGCCTCTTTACATTAAAACTTTATAAGTCGTCAATAAAAGCTATAATTAAGTGAGGTTTCTTTTGTTTATTTGTTTTATTTACACATGGGATCTGGCTATGTTGCCCAAGCTGGACTTGAATTCCTGGGTTTAAGGGATCCTCTGACCTCTGCCTTTGGAGTAGCTGGAACTATAGGTGCATACTACCATGCCTGGCTTGGCTATTCAGTTTTTTAAAGAAATGAAATGCTTAACATCAAATTAAATTTGTTTAAAATAACTGCTATTGTGTCAAATAATGAAACTACTACTACTATATTTATTCATTAAAAACATTACATAATTATTCCCTATGATCACTATAAAATTTAAACAATCCATTTTGCTTGTGTATGAAGATATGAAGACAGTGTTTCTGAAGCAACACTCTAAACCAGAAAGGTCTAATAGTAACACACAACCCCGACTCTGTTTTTGGAAGTCAGTGCATTCAGTGGTTATAAAAAGTCAGGAAGTTATTTCACCGCTAAGGAGTTCTGGAGGATTAAAAAAGAAGTAAAGATAAGATGAATAATCTAAAAGTTATCATAATGATCACAAATGCTGCCAGTATTCAAAGGAAAGTATGATATAACCTGAGTATTAATCAGTTGTGGTTTTTTCTCCCAATGGAAGGCGTTCCCATAACTGGAGCAACTGTTCACCAACCTGAGGTTCTAGCTCCTAAAAAACACAAAAGTCAAAATAAACATGAAAAGAACTAGACAGAAATTTTTTAAAATACCAAAATCTATATTAATAAAAATGTAAGAAAATCACTTTAAATTTCTCATTTTCCTACTAGAACAAGCTAAAATCATATGGTATGCATTTTTTCCTAATTCTTTGCTTTAAGGTTTATGGGGTCAAAGTCCAGATTTAACATTGTAGTTATCCTTGTTTGTACAGGGGTAAATTAAAAAATAATAAAAGAAAAAAAAGAGTGCAGTTTATCTGTCAATATGTCAACTTTTGTGACAAAGTGGTGACAGGTGTCCATAAGTCCTTCTAGAACTTTGTCTATCTGGAAATAATGGATTTTTTTTTTTTTTTTGAGACAGAGTAAGAGACTGTCCTGGGTAGAGGGCCATGACATCATAGCTCACAGCAACCTCATACTCTTGGGCTCAAGTGATCCTCTTCCCTCAGCCTCCCCAGTATCTGGGAATAAAAGCACCCGCCACTACATTGCCTAGTTTGTCTGTTGTTTAGTAGTGACAATGTCTCACTCTTGCTCAGGCTAGTCTTGAACTCCTGAACTCAGGCAATCCACCCACCTTGGCCTCCCAGACTGCTAAGATTACAGGCGTGATTTACAGCCCCCCCTCCCCCATGCTGGGCCTGTGATTTTGTTTCTAATGGAGACTTAGCAAAAACACTCAACTGGAAATTCCAGAGATTTACTGTGAACTCTACCTAGCACATTAGACGTTTTGAGGTTTTTCTCCTAACAAACTATCTTTGGTGACTACACATTCTTACCTTAGAAATTACTAAAATTAAACTTACTTCAAAATCATTATTATAGGATAAAAATGAACAGAACACCACTTTATAGTCCTCCTGTGGCATGATATTTCTCATAAACATTTAAAAAGCAGCCGCTTTTCACATGGTGACCTGAAGTGAGTCACACTGGTTCAAACAAATTATTAGCTATGCAAAACTTAGTTATTATCTGTGCAAAATTTTTGCTTAGGCAAAACTAACCTCAGAATCTATTTCCTCCTACATAAAACTGGACTAATAACTCGTTTTATTCATAAAAAAAACTTATAATGCAGGTAGCACAGTATTTGGTCAATATATACAGAGTGGCCATTGTGTGCGATTTAAAACTACACATGAACTTTATGGACACCGTGTATTAATTCCCATCACCTTAAATGGCTTAAAATGCATGTAAGCAGCATGATGAAGGCAAACCAAAATACAAGTGAAACAAGACAACAGACTATAAAAAGGTTATTTACCGTACATAATTAGTTAAAACAACAGAGAAACTAGATACCATTGTCATCCTGAGACTTTGATCAAATTACCTCAGAATTGCACTCAGTCTTGATCACATGTTTAGTTAGCAAGACAACAGAAATCTTCATGAAATAACTTTTAAATATTTCACATAGAGAAATCTTTATAAAGAAGCCAAATTTACAAAATGTTAAAAATGCAATGAGCTATAAGACACCTTTCCTTTCCAAATAGGATTTTATTGGCTTTTTATGTAGCTGGATCACTGTTTCCCATGTGCATATAGAATATAAAATTTGTATTCTTATACTTCCTCCTCAAAACACTGAATAACAGCAAAATAAAACAGAAACAAATGAAAAATTTGTAAATGTCATTGTATACCTGCCCATCTCTGCTTATCTGTACTTTCTTGTTGTCATTCCACGGATTGAGTAAATGGTGTGCAAACTGAAAGGGAAGACTCTCCTTCCGTATCCACTCTACCTTAAATACTCCTCCTAGTCCAGCTGAGCCCCATTCCTGGCTCTTCTCTCTTCCTATCTCAGAACACATCCTAGAAAATCCCTGTGGATAAAATGGGAGGAAGGAGTAGAGGTGAGGATAATATTAAAATGTCTAAATTCAATTTATCTGATTAGGGTGAGTTTTTTAACCTTTAAGATATAATATAAATGTAACAGATGCCTAACAAAGGCAAAAAATGAGCTACTTATTAATTTTTCTTATAAAAGGATTTATTAACAAATCTTAGAGAAAAGACCAATTCTAGTCTTAGAATATAATTTCAAATATTAACAGATAATTTCTAAATAATGTATCATTTCTAAGTCTACATTTATTCCGAGATAAATGAATAAAATCTAATTAAGTTTTTATTTCCAAAAATTATAATAAATGTCACATAAATTTATTTTATAAATTCAGATACAGCATACATTAAGTCAACATGAGTTAATAAACACCTCATTTCTTAATTGCCAATACTAACTTTCTTGGCCTATTTAAATAAATATTTTTTTTAAGTCAAGCTTCTCATTTTTTTTTATTTTTTATTTTTATTAAATGATAACTATGTACATTAATGCAATTCTGGGGTACAGTGTGGTGTTTTCACATACAATTTGAAATATTTTCATCAAACTGGTTAACATAGCCTTCATGTCATTTTCTTAGTTATTGTGTTAAGACATTTATACTCTACATTTAGAAAGATTCACTTGTACCCTTGTAAGATAAACCATAGAAGTGATCCCTCCACCCATTCCCCCATCCACTTGAGAATTAGTAAATCTAAAGTTGCCTTTGGAAGGAAAAACTGTTGTGTTCAGAAGGAAAAAGGCTCTGATAAGGCATAAACAAAAATATCCCAGTTCTATCTCTCCCTTGAAGATGCACTATACTCCTCTTTCTCTCTCTGCATATATTCTCTCTTTCTCTCTCTTCTTTCTGCATTAAAAGGCAATGTCACTTTATAATGTAGTATAATAAACAGTAAAAAGCCAGGTTTTTCTTTGTTTGTTTTAAATCTCCTATGTTTTAACTTAAAGCCATAACAACACAATTTTACTGTTTCAGGATGGCTCACCTGGAAATGTCCAGATCCTTGAACAGAAAATACCAAGTAAACCATGCTGCTTTCCCAAAAGGCTCGATTGAGCTTTCGCTCATTACTAGGGGTTGTAGACCAGATACCCTTCTGCTGAGAAATTTCAAGGTTTCTCAAATTGCTACTCTTCATTATAAAGTATCGAATAGGCATGTTTGGTCTTGGTGAAGGAGATTTTGAGCCCTAGAAAAGAATGCATAAGTTTTTGAAAGGTAATTGGACCTTTCAAAATCAATATACCCCATTAAATAACATCTTCACAAACATATAAACCAAAGTATTTACCAAATATTCAGTAAGTACAAATAGTTCCATCATGACTGAATACCTATGCAAGGGTCAATCAAAATGAAGTTGAAGAGCCAAAAATACGAGTAAGTACTCATTTTTCAAGCTTATCAATAAGGCTCTTGGAACACCAACATTGGGGATTTATACTCCAAATGTACATTCAGAATGTGTTTTAATAAACCTTCAAAATCCAGCAACAAAACAAAAATTGCTCCAGCCTACTGCCTGGAAGTAGTTTCCAGTTGACAAAGAGCAACAGAGAGCCCAGTGGTCTCAATGAATTGTGAAGACAGACTGAAATTTAGAAACCAAGGCAACTAGAATTTGAATGGCATGATTGAAGGGAGTTGTCCTGAAAGCTCCAAAGTAACTACAGAGTGGTCTCTACAAGGTTTTGACTGAGTACTGTCCTGAATTGGGGGGGGGGGGGTCTGAAGCTAGGGAAAAAATCTAAACGGTAACAACAGACCAGACAATTTTCAGGGTTTACACATGGAGGGAATATTTCATGTTGCCCTCAGACAGAACAAAGAGACCTTATGAATACATAGGGCATTGGCCCATAGAAGGGTCATACCACAGTAATAGAACTAAATTAAGATCAGAATAAAGACCGCTCAGGCAGCGCCTGTAGCTCAAAGGAGTAGGGCGCCAGCCCCATATGCCAGAGGTGGCAGGTTCAAACCCAGCTCTGGCCAAAAACTGCAAAAAAAAAAAAAGAATAAAGACCGCTCTGGACACGCCCTGACACTACTTAAATGCAAACCTAAAAAGGATTAATTAACTGATGATCACAACTTGTGTATCAGAACAAAATTGAACACTATTTAGAGGAATACAACAAAAACCTAGCAGTCAAACAAAATTTCAAAAAAAGCAAAGAAACAAGAGAATATGACTCATAATGAGGAAAAAAGTATTCAAAAGAAATAGATTTAGGTATGACAGAGATGATATAATTAGTAGACAAGAATGTTAAAGCATCTATTATAAATACATTCATTTTGTTCAAGAAGGTAGAGAAAAATATGAACATGAGGAAAGAAATGAAAGATATTTTTAAAAGACCCAAAGATAACCTCTAGAGATGAAAATATAATATTTGAAGGCAAGTAACATGTGAACGTAAAGATGTAACAACAGAAATTATTCACAATGAAGCAACAGAAATAAAACTGAACAAAAAGAAAAGAACATCAGCTACCTGTGGAACAATATCAAGTAGATTTACATTTGTATTTTCACAGTCCCAGAAAGGAAGGTCTTCAGCAAAAGTAAATGATACAAGATGGACATCACATCAACACAAAAGAATGAAGAAAAGACTCGCAAGTAAATGAATAATATAAAAGACAGTTTTCTGACTTTTAAATCTTGATAAAAGATAACTGACCATGTAATGCAAAAATATTGCATTGTAGCATTTATGTAGAATAAAATGTATGAAAACAATAACACAAAGGGAATGAAGGGTAAAATAAAAGAACACAGGTGCAAGGTTCTCAAAACTACACCTGAAATACCGTAATATTGATTCAAGGGGCACTAGAAATAAGTTAAAAATAGCTTTACCAGTGAATTCTATCAGACAAATACCAATTCTATACATCTCTTCTAAAATACTAAAGTGAAAGGAACACTTCCCAACTAATTTTAAGAGGTAAGCAATACCCTGATACCAAAATCATACAAATACAAGAAACCTACAGAATAATAGCCCTCATGAACCAAGATTACTTAACAATATTCTTGATTTAACAAAATCAAATCCAGCAATATATAAAAAGGGTACCATCATGACTGATATATAAACATTAAAAAAAATCAATCAATGAAATTTACAAAAAAATGCCTTCCTCCTAGGATCAGGGAAAAGATGTCTGCTCTCAACACTTTTATTCAATATTTTACTCAAGACTGAAGCCAAAAAGATAAGGTAAAAAATAGATAAATAGCAATCAGAATGAACACATAAAAAGTAAAACTATTAACAAATGGTATGATTATCTTTGTAGAAAATCCACAGAAAGCTACCTGAAAAACTAATAGAATAAATAAATTAAAAATGGTCATGGATACAGGGCAAATATACAAAATCAAACATATTTCTATATACTGTCAATGGATACCTGGAAATAGAAATTTTATAAACCAATAATATCAAAATTATTAAACACTTAGGGATAAATTCAATTAAAAAGTGTGTAACGCCTGTACTGTTGAGATTTACATAAAACATTTTTGTGGGAAATTAAAAGGATACCTAAATGGGATATCTAAACAGAGAGATATACCATGCTTATGGGCTGGCATAGTAAAAATTATTGTTGATTTTCTTCAAATTATTCTGCTACTTAATATATCAAACTTTTTTCTGTAGAAACTGAAAAGCTGACTCTAAAGTTCATGTGAAAGCACAAAGGACCTAGAATAACAAAAAAAAAATTTTTTTGAAAAAGATGAACAAAGTTAGAAGACAAACATTAACTGACTTTAAGACTCACTATAAAACTTCTAAAATCCATTCAGTGTGTCATTAAAAAAAAGTACAGATCTAACTGAACAGAACCAATGAACAGACCACATATTTGTGGTCAACTTTTGACAGAGGTACTACAGCAATTCAATGGGGGAAAAAATGTTTTTCAACAAATGGTACTAGAAGAATTATGTAGGTCAAAGCCAAAAAATGATCCATGACTTACCATAAAATAAACAAAACCTAACTTGTAATAGATCATATACCTTATACCTAAATGTAAGAATTCCAGAAGAAAACACAGGAGAAAATCTTTGCCATCTTGGTTTTGGTAAAAATTTCTTAAGACACAAAAAATATGAATCATAATAGAAAAAATTAATGAAATGGAGCAAAATTAACAACATTTGCTCTTCAAAAGATACTGTTCAACATCCATTAGTTACTGCGAAAAAACAAATTAAAGCTACAATTAGCTGTCACTGTCTACCCTTAGAATGGCTAAAATTACCAAAAATAATAATGTGAGTATATGTAGCAAATGGAGCTCTTACAGATTGTTGAAAGGCAGGCAAAATAGTACAGCAAACAGTTGGGTAACTTCTTATAAAGTTAAGTATATGATTATCATACAACCCAACCCAACAATCCTACTCCTGTATTTATTTGCCCAAGAATAGAGCATATTACACACAAAGACTTGTATTGGAATGCTACAGAAGCTATATTCACAATAGCCAAAAATGGAAACAACCCAAATATGTCTATCACTATGAATGGATAAGCAAACTATAGTATATTTATACAATGGAATACTACCCAAGAATAAAATAAACTAAAAAAAAAAAAGAATAAAATAAACTAATAGTACACTCAACAATATAGATGAATTTTAGAAGTATTATATTAAGTGAAACAGGCTAGATACAAAAAGCTACATACATATGATTCTATTTATAAGAAGTTCTAGAAAAGGCAACTATAGGCTCCAGACAGATCAGTGGTTACAAAGCACTGGGGGTGATAAAAATATTTTGTACATGACTGTGGTACAGTTACCTAACTGCATATATTTCTTAAAATTCACTAAATTGTGTGGCTTAAATTGGCAGATTTTATTGTGCATAAGTCATACCTTAATAAAGGTATTTAAATTATAAACCAAAACCTAAGAATGAAAATCTATAAAAACATTCCTTTTCCTCTTATTTAAAAGAGTATGTCAGCAGAAATATTCACCAAAGCCCATGTAGCTAAAAAAGTTCTAATCAAAATACTTACTTACTCAGCTACTAACAATGCAGGAAAAGTGAAAGTCATCACATTCTGAACATTTGATGTCAGTCATAATACAAATTTTTAAAAGACAGTTTTCAATTCTGTATGAACATTTCCTACAGCCCTACCCTCATCTTGTTTTCTGTTTTTAAATATAACCTTTGAAATGCAGAAATCAATTAACAGTTGAAAGTAACCATTGTTTTCAATTTGAAATTATAAACCAAAATTAAATTAAGATAATCTCTGTAAAAAAAAAAAAAAAGATGATCTTATTGTCATTTGTTTGAACAAAAAAGGTTCTAAAGAAAAAGAAAGAAAATAATGAATTGCCTTAATACATGCCATTAGTAGGTGTTAGTTTTAAAACACTGAAGACATTAAAAACTAGAAATACTTAGCAAGCAGGAAAGACTTAAAAGTTTACTCAAAGTGTCTCAAGTTTGCCAACTTCAACTTCAATGTAGAACAGAGGCCACTGTTCAAATTTTTAACATTAGATACGCTACAAACATGGTCCTTACTATATCTATGTTTAGATACTCTACCTTTCCTGAGGATGGAGGAGAAGGACTAGCACAAGGACTTGGGTAACTACTACTGTCTGTAGATTTCACAGAAGATTGATCTGATCGATCATCAGTGCTTCGTTTAGGATGTAAAATTCCTCTGTCTTTGTACTTCTGAGGTGGGTGTAATGCTGGAGATGGAGATTTCATCAATACTCTTGAGCAAGAAAGAAGGAAAGATCAGTTATATATATGTTTATAAAACAAAGCAGATGCCATTTCAATCCAAAGTCCCAGCAATACTGTGATTTATGAAACAGTATTCTAAATTACTGGAGTCAGGAAATATCAATATCTACAAAAGTACTAAATTTACAACTAACCAGGTCTGTGATCCTTACTAAGTCTCTTAACTTACCTAAGCTTTAATTTCTTATCTGTTTAAAAAAACTATTAGATTAGATAAACTCTAAGACTCTTCAAAAATTCTATGAATAAATGCTGTAAACTTGGAAGTAGGGGATATTATAATTTTTTCAAGAGTGTAGGTCTTTGTGAAACAACCAGACATTAAACAATATAAAGGTCACAAAACCAACTATAAAATATTCTTGCCAACACACTCAATCTAATCAACCTCTGAGAGCTAACTACCAGTTTACATGAAATACATAGAGTATAGGAATAAATGGTGCCAATAAAAAACAAAGAGACAAGCACAGAATGTGAGACATCTTATAATCCCACTGATCTAGTTTATTCAAAAAAGTCAATAGAGGAACTACTCTAGATCACAAGAGACCCAAGAAACATGACATCCTTATATAATGCCTGGGTCTTCCTTGCATGCTCATTCAAATAAATCAGTAATTTAAAACTGAGAATATAATTTTATCGGAACTGGTAACCACTCTGGTTATGTAGGAAAATGCTCCTATTTTTATTAGATGCACATTTAAATATGTAAGGGTAAAATGACATGGTGTGTCAGATTCACTTTGAAATATGTAAGCAAAAAAAGATACAAGAAAATTTTGGTGGTTAAATCAAGTAGATGAAAATCTTGGCAATTGTTGGAGTTGGCAATAATGGAGTTCCATTATTGTATGCCATTTACTTTGTTTTAACAGTACTTATAATAAATAAATTTAAAACAAAAAAGTTGATAAGTTTTCAATAATTCATTAGTTGTTCTTAGTTTAAACATTTAATAATTCTTAAAATTATAATTACTCTATGTTCAAGTAGTGTATCCCCAAATTTCATTTTTCTATCAATAAATATCTTAGATCCAGGATTCTTTTGCAAATAAAATGTCTACAGCCTAAAGATATTAATAAGAATTAATAAATGTCTACAGCCTGAAGATATTAATTAATAAGATATGAATGAACATCTGACTAACAAAAAATTGGCAAGACATGAACAATAACTTTTCGGGGGTATTTTCTCCAGTGAACTAAAGTCCAGTGAATTACCTAGCAATACAGTGGCATCATCATAGTTCACTGCAACCTCACACTCCTGGGATCAAGAGATCCTCCTGCCTCAGCCTCCCAAGTAGCTGGGACTGCAGGTACATACACTATCACACATGGCAAATTTTTTCCATTTCTGGCAGCGATGGGGTCTTTCTCTTGCTCAGGCTGGTCTCTAATTCATGACCTCAAGCAATCCTCCTGCCTCAGCTTCCCAAAGTGCTAGGATTATAGGCATGAGCCACCACACCTGTTCTATAAGGTAATAGTTTTAAAATATTATAAAAACACACTATTCTAAGACAAATCATTTTCCTTGAGAAAATGTCAACTATTTTGACAAAATGTTACAAATGTACCTTTCTGCAGCAGTGGACTCATCAGAAAATTCAGTATCTGCTGAGCTTTTTCTACTATTATTTGACCTCCAAGATGATGCCAAAGGAAGTTCTTCTGAAGACATAGGCCTTGGCCTTTGGCCAATCCCAGATGGTTGCTGTAAACCTGCAGACTGTTCTTCAGTGCTTAAAACAGCTATAATTGCTCTTATGGTAGCTTCATCGACTTGAGACCAAGGTTTAGATGGTGCTCTCATTCGGCGTAAAAATAAGCTATGCCACTTCTGTCTGAGTTGTAGCAATAAACTGGCTGCCTGTAATAAAAGTGTCCTCAGTTCAAATAGATAAAAGTAAAATGTACATCACATATACAAGATACTTACACAAGACACTTATTTGCTTATTAGTTAAGGTCTGCAATTTGTTTCCAAAGAACATACTTTAAATTTCATATAATTTACTCTTAATTCTACTCTCTATTGAATGAATGAAATAATTTCTCATTTATAAAACTCTAGGCACTAGAAACACAAAATCAAATGAAACAGCCTAGTAAGAGAGATAGTAATATTAGTTAAGTTGGAATATAGGGCATATTCTGGGAAAGTAACAGTAGGACAAGTAGATTACATTTAGTTCTATTCATGCTGTTATTTTAATGCCTGTAGAACATCCAAATGATTATGTCCAGAAGGCAGTTGGACTCACATAAAGGCCCAAGCTAGAGATATAAATTTGAGAGTCATCAGTGCATAAATGGCTACTAAATCTACAGACAGATATAAGGTCCCTGCGGACTGTGCAGATAGAATGAGACAACAGTAAGGCACAGAACTTAAAATTGAAGACAAAAACACATCTAAAATATAAGGCACAACACATACAGAAGAGTCAGTGAAACAACTCAACAAGGAATGACTAAAAGGAAGAATTAGCAAAGATCAATGTCACGTTAACTCGTGATAAAGAAGGTGGAACAAGAATAAGGAAGAAAAATGGAGAAGAAAGGATTACAAAAAGGAGGTTATGGACAGCAGTGCCAAGAGAAGTCCCATTTCTGAGGTACTTCAGATGAGCTTTGAGAACAGTTGACCTTGGGGAGTACAGTTTCAGTGAAGTAACAGGTTGGTGGGAATGAAGTAAAACCGCACTAGGTTGAGGTGGTAAATGAATGGATGGCATAAAAGTAAACCTAACAGTGACAACTACAACAGCTCAGCTACCCCACAAAAGGCACAGAAAATGATCTTTAAAAGTAGAGTTGGAACTAAGGGAGACTTTGTCCAGAAAATGTATTTTTGAGACAAAGTCTCACTTTGTCACCCTTGATAAGTATACCATGGTGTCACAGTTCACAGCAACCTCCAACGCTTGGGCTCAAGCAATCCTCTTGCCTCAGTATCCCAAGTAGCTGGGACTACAGGTGCCTACCACAATGCCCAGCTATTTTTAGAGATAAGATCTTGCTTTTGCTCAGGCTGGTCTCAAATTCCTGAGCTCTAGTGATCCATCTGCCTCAGTTTCCCATGGTGCTATGATTACAGGCATGATCTACCAAGACCAGCCAGAAATTTAATCCGATAGAAACATTTCTCTCCCCCAATCTGAAGTATATGGAAAGAGACAACAGAATGAACTCCTATTTCTAACAAACAGTTACACAAAATAAAAGGAGTTCTTGTGTACGCAATAGTCAACACCTTTTTTATATATATGGAAATATTCAAATATTAATTCTGTGGTCTAAATGTTTTTGCCCCCCTCTAAAAATTCGTGTTGAATTTAATCCCCAATGTAATGGTATTGGGAGGTATTGGCTTTTGAGAGGTGATTGAGTCATGAAGCCTCTGCCCTCCTGAATGGGACCTTACAAAAGGGCTTGACAGAAGGAGTTCACCCCTCTTGACCTTTCACCTTCTGCCATGTGAGGATATATATATATATAAAGCACTCTCTCCGCTAGAGGACACAGGGCACAAGGCATCATCTTGAAAGTAGACGGCAGCCCTCAGCCTATGCTGGCACCTTGATATCAGACTCATCAGCCTCCAGAGCTATAATCAATATGTTTTCATCTTCATAAATTACTCAGTCTGAGGTATTCTGTTATAAGACCACAAATAGACAATTACCTTCCTTAAATACTGAGTTACTCTTAAGTTTTTCAAGTCCTCTGTTGGTTTATTCTGCTGGAATAAACCCCAATACAGCAGAGTGTACAAGGGCCCTATGAAAATTGAAAAACAAACTACATTCTCTAATACCAAGAACTCAATATTGAAGATAACTTTCATATTGCACATCAATTCATGTTATCTAAATAAAAGACATGTATTACACTACTAAAAAGTGACTTACCTCTGGCTCTAGTTTGAAATTGAGCCACTCATCAAGTTTCAAGGCTGCCAAATTAGCAGTAGTTCTGTCCTCCATTTCACTATCACTACTGTCATTGGGAATGCCATCCACTGTCCAAACACATAATGCAAGAAAAATATCATTTTTACCACCTCACATTATAGTTAAAAGTAAGCAGAATACATACTCTTTACATACTCAAATGCTCCTGACACACTAAAATGTTGTATGGGAAGTTCTCCAAACTCAAAAGGTCACAAATTAAATCTCAATATTTAAAAGGAGGAAAAGAAAGGACATTTTGAAAACTACAATCTCTAATCATAATGCAATAAAACAAAAAAGACAAGAACTTAAAAACTGAAAGACAAGCTTTAAATAACAACTGAATTAAGAAGAAACAAAGAACATACTTAGAGAAAGGGATGAATACACAACAAGAACTGTGGAATGATGTGTTCAAAGCAATACTCATGTAAATTGGGGTTGCAATTTTTTTCTTTTCTTTTTCTTTATGCCTTTCTGGAGATAGAGTCTTGCTCTGTCACCTGGGCTAGAGAGCAGTGGCATCACTATAGCTCACTGCCACCTCAAACTCCTAGACTAAAGTGATTCTCCTCCCTCAGCCTCCCGAATACCTGGGACTAAAGAAACACGTCACCCCACCACACTTGGCTAATTTTTCTGTTTTTGTATACATTTCTACTCTCTCCACACAAACTCAACTCCCTCCAGGCCCCTTATACCACTAACAGTGCTCTTGTCAAGGCCACTGATGACTGCCATAGTACCAAACACAACGTTTTAGGTCTAAATTTTTTTTCAGTTTCAAGGTATCATTCAATAGAATTGACCACTCACCACTGCTTTCTGGAAACACTGAGCCACTTTTTCTGCCTCTACTCAAATTTATATATTCTCCTTAGGAAATCTATTCTCTTGTCTTTGCATATCATTTATGATGTGGTGACTTCCAAATCTGTATTGCTAGTTTAGGTCACTTCCCTGACTCCCAGATATGTATATCCTTCTGAAAAAAATTCACTTAGGATGTCTTACTATCTCAAACTTAATGTGTCTAAAACAGAACTCTTGACTTCTCCCCTATACAACCTGCTCTTCCCAAGTTTTCTGGATTGCAAATAATTGGCATTATTATTCAGCCAGCTACTATAACCAAAACCTGAGAATTATAATAGACTCTTCCCTCTTTCCCTTACTACTCACATTTAATCTAGCAGTTACTAACACCTCCAAAATAATTTTGAATCTACTTCTATCATCTGTCACTGCCCTAGTTCTGAGTTATCATCATCTGTTATAAGACTACTGCAAGAACTTCCTATCAGCCTCCCTACATTCTTTTATTCTTGGCCCTTCAGAAACCCACTCCCTCTTAGCCAAAATGACCTTTTAAACATAAATCACATGTCAGTCCCTTACTTAAAATTTGTTAATGACTTTCCTTGCATTTACTATGGCCTACAAGTTCATGCCTTCCTTTTAACCTTATCTCACTGCCCTTGCCCACTGATCAATGTGCTCCAATCACATAGGCTGTCAGTTCCTATATCATCTCCGAGCACAGAACTTAGAGCTTTCTGTCTTCTATGTATGGCACATTTTTGCTTCTTCACGTAGATGGTTTTTTCTCATACTTCAGGTCTCAGGGTGAGTCTCATCTCAGAGAAGCTTGTCTAAGATCCCTTTCAAAAGTAAGTCATGCCTAAAATAGTCTTCTTTGTATCTCCTGACAGCACCATGCAGATTGTTTTACTATCTACCCCTACTACTGTGCAACCTCCTGACGACAGAAACACCTTGTCTTCTATTAAATCCTCAATGCCTAGCACAGTACCTAAGGTATAACAGACGCTGAATAAATACTTGCTGTAACACTGAACAGCAAAAAATTCAAAACCATCAAGATGTCCAACCATAAAGGAACATTTTAACACACTGCGCTACACTTAAACATGATAGATTATTTTGCAGCCATTAATATTAAATATTTAAAGTCTTTTTCATATTCTATATAATGAAGAGAATAGAATATAAAATAATAGTATGAGTGAAATAATTTAAAGTATATAAATACAATAGAAAACTATATTAGGTTTTGCATAAGGTTTACATTATGGGTGACTATTATTATTATTTTGTTTGTTTGTTTTTTCTTTTTTTGAGACAGAGTCTTATGCTGTTACCCTGGGTAGAGTGTCGTGGCATCACAGCTCATAGCAACCTCAAACTCTTGGGCTTAAGCTATTCTCTTGCCTCAGCCTCCCAGGTAGCTGGGACTACAGGCACCTGCCACAGTGCCCAGCTATTTTTTGGTTATAGTTGTCACTGTTTGGCAGACCCAGACTGAATTCAAACCCACCAGCTCTGGTGCATGTGGCTGTGCCCTAGCCTCTGAGCTATAGGCACTGAGCCTATTATTAAGAAACAATTGCCTTTATTTATGTCAAACTATCATTTAAATTCAAGTGAAAAAGAAAAATAAACTTCTTCCCATCAGGAAGATTAATCAAAAACATACAAGTCAAAGTGAAGTTACCTTAGAAATTAATTTCAAGAAGTAGTATACTTTAGTATTTCCTAATAATCTTAGTATATGAAAAGGGAACTATAATTACATACATTTTTATAATTTCACAATTTGTTTGGTTTAGTAAAAAAATTCATTTCAAATAGATTTTCATCTCCTCATAACACATTTACCTCTAAAGGATGAAGGTTCCTGAAGAGCATTACTTGCCAACCTAGCTGGTCCACAGAATACCAATACAGTGACAGGTGTCACTGCTGAACAACATCTAATGTTAGCTATTCTATGAGCTCTGGTCATTTCATCATAAATTAGCCAGTCTGTGGGCAGTGCCTGAATTGCTGCAGCTTGACCATTGGCTGGAGGAATCTATTAAGAAAATAAATCAAAAAATTCTTAATTGTATTTATCACCTAATTTATTGAGAACACTTTTAAGATGCAAAAAGTTCCTCAATACAATAGTACCCAAGCAAAAATTAAAGCAAGATAATACTGATGAATTTTGCATAAAAGTCCTCGTTATCGAACATGTTACCACTTCCAACCCTAAGACTAGAATCAAAGTTTTGTTCCAATGTTTAATTGTATGTATATGGCTAATTAATTTCTTAAAGCAGGTGGTATTTGGAACATTTTTTATTGATTTTTCAACTAGCGAAATCAGTTTCACCTCAAGACCTAAGAGCATTAAAAATGTCTTACCTTTTTATATTGAGGCTGACTGAGAACTGAAGTGGGATGAAATCGTACTTTTTTCTCCTTTGGCCCTGTCAATACTACATTCTCTCTGTCCACATGGACTAAATTAGGATACATGCCAGCCACCAGTGCAGCTTTAACAACAGCCCAGTTCTCAGAGTTTGTGTTAACATCACGAATGTCACCACCACCTCGTGCTCTAACAAAACCTACACGAGAAAAAAACACCAACTTTTTCCACTGTACAAAATTTGCTTACTTTTTACAAAATAAAGTTGTATAACTCATATAAATTTAATGATATCTAAATTCCACAATAATTAATAGACTCCCCTCTGGAAAGCTGTGTAAAATATAGAATCAATGTTCTAGAAAAAGTGTAGACACATTCAGCCTAGAGTAAGTAAGTATAAGACTTGCCAGGGGCTTAAGGAATTTTTAAAGACGCACATTCTTACAATAAAGTACTTTATTAGCTGCTGCCAAAAACAAAGTTCACAGCTAGAAATGCAAACCATTCTCCTGACTGATATGAACAACAGTTTTTGTTATGACAGACACTAATTCTGGAAGTGAAATCAAGTAAATATTAATATATAGTAATTCTTAATTTCAAAAGTTCCTCATATTTCTCCATATTTAAGACAACTTTTAAACCCTCTGGTTCATTCTTTGTATGATTCTGACACTTTTAATTACTGCATGGATCTAGGCTCTGGTACTTTGAAATCACCTCAATGTACTACACTTAGTCAAAAACAGAATTTAAAGAAACAATTCTATGAGGAAATGGCAACACTGGCATCCTCTTTGAAAAAAAAGACAAAAACAAAACAAAACAAAAACCCCACAGTGCCTTCAAGCCATTACCACTTGCTTTAGTGTTTCAGAAATATAAAGAAGAGCATTCCTGTTAATCTACTTAACTTTCTATTTCATAGAACTAAATAATTGTTCATTAGCAGTGATGAAAGAAAATATATTAACCATAAGATCTAAATTGATCTTTGCTAACAAATACACGTATTATAAACCATTCATTGCCAATAATATTAAGAGACATAAATTACGTTTTTCTTAACTGCAATTTCTGCAATATCATTTTTTTCATCAGCAAACGAAAGTTGAGATCATGAAAAAGTCTTACAAATCAGTTCATGAATATCAACTATACAACACAATAATGTCATAAAAATAATAAGAGATGGCATCAGTTAATACACAAGTATTATGAGGTATAAGGCAGGGTACTCTCAGTGGCTTAAATAGGTTCTTTGGGGGAAAACTTTACCTGATGCTCTAAGTTGACCAAGCAACTGTGTTCTCATGCCTATGATTATTTCCATAGTAGCTTGTGAAAGAAAATTCTTTTCACAAAAGGCTCGCTCCCACCCATCACTTCGTGCTTTCTGCCATGCCTATAAAAATTAAATAATTACAAAACAAAACATATTTATCAAACACTTCTCGGTGAAGTAGTAAAGTAACTGAACACCACTATACTAATTACTTAAGGTCAAGTCTTCTTATTCTAATTATTCCATAAAATCTAAGATTTTACAGTCAAAACATGTATCATTAATTTGTACTCAAATCTATGAAAGATATTATGTTTATAAAATCCCAATAGGAATTGTCAAGTAACCTAAATAGCCAACTATGAAAAATATTAACCTTCTCAGATGCATCAGCTAATTTTATTCCACAAAAGTGAAAAAAGTTTTCAACTAAGTTATCATGACATAATTATATTCAAGAATCCTGCCATTATAGCCCCCCCAAAATAATCTTTGTACAACCTAGTAATCTGTCTGTGATCTTAGAAACTATCTACACACAGTATAAAAAAGGTCCCCTTAAAAATGGGTTCTCTTTGAAATGTAACTGAAAGACCACAGCAGCAATTGAAGGAGGCGAGGGGGAAAAAAACAAAAAAGAGATACCCCTCTAATTATCACTCAACTGATCTACTATAATATATGGTATCTAATATAGCCAATTAATAAAAATGGGTCATTCATTGTGCAATAATAAAAAAGGGCTTGTAATTATTTTTTAAATGATGTATGTGTTGAAAAATTTCAGTATGCCTGAAAAAGAGTACCTTCTGCATAAACAAAGTTAAATGTTTAAAAAGTATAGGCACACCCTACATTCAAGAGGATTTAAGGATAAATAAAATGTCTACCTTTCAAGAAATAACATATTCTTCCCCACCTATTTGAATTTCTAAGGTACAGTTCTCTTCCTCAGAGTCTTACTTTCCTTATCTTTTCTTTTTTTTTTAATCTTTTCTTTCCCATATATTTTTTTCTCAATTTCCCACTACTATTATCTTAAAAGGTCTTAAGTGATTTTTGAATCTCGCTTTATTAAATTAAGTTCGTAGTATAATGTCTTAAGCATATAAGAAAAAGATGTACTCTAAAAAAAGGAATAGATATTAAATTCAAATTAATTTTCTTCCAAGCTTTCCTTTGTATGCTTTAAGTAACAGACAATGTTTCTTAACCAAAATTTTAGATTATTTCTTATCCAAAGCATGATTTAAAGAAACTTGGCATTTAAAAAAATACAAGTATAAATAAATATATACACACATATATACATTATTCCTACTGTAAGGAGAAAATGGGGGGAGGTGTAAAACAGAGTAGAGAAAAACTCCCATAATTTTAACATATTAACAGCAAGAAGATATTTTTCAGGACTATTAATAAAATGAGACTTCCTAATGAAACAAAATAAATGTAATCCTTATTATTTTTTAAATGGCTGCCCTTGCCCCAGAAATGTCTTTAATTAGCAGCATTTTCAGAAACAAAACAACAGTCATAGTACCTGGAATGCTCTCAGAAGTGCCATATGGTCACTGAAGGTTCCTGCAGTAAAACGTTTTCTACAAAGCATAGCTGCACGTTTTTGAGAGGCCTGAGTAGGCAGTACAAAAGGATCTCGATAAGCTAGTGTGCAAGCAATTGTAAGGATGGGGTCCAGACACTTTAAAACAACAGCACAGAGAACCATTTTACCAAGATGTGGTTCTACTGGCAGGTCAGCCAAATGATACCCAAGTTCAGTCAGATCTTCCCATGCATCCATCGCATCTATAGTCTAAATAAAGGGATACAGAACACATTTTGACATGAGCAAAAAATATATTTAATCAAATCACACACTTTTTAAAAACCCATGAGAAATAAGAATGTAAATTTTCTTTTGCTATCACCAAAATATACAAGATAAAAAACATATTACATAAAAGAAATATACCTACTGCCTTACCGTAATTACGAGAGTATTATTCTAAGTACATGATCATTTAAAATAATTTTTTAAGGCACTAAAGTAGTTAAAATATCTTCTCATTTGGTTTAAATTTTAAGGAAAAAAGTCAGACAAAATAAAACTTTTAAGACACCAACCTTAAGCATTTGTACGGCATTTCTAACAATCAAAGCTGGTGGAGGTTCAGGTGCTTTCATGAGGAAATCAGCAATGGGACAATTAACTGGGGCAAGCAGCTTGGTATGTAAACAAAGTTCCTATAATTAACACAATAAATAATTTTGAAGAATTAATATTATAATATTAACTTTTATATTTAAAAAAATCATGAGAACTATAGTTTCTAAACACAGACTAGTAGAGTCTCCGACTAGAATGTACAATAAAAGGAATAATGTCTTTCTATAAAAGATGAGCTTATACTTGTCCTAGAAGCCAGAAACAACTCATCAACTCATACCAAGATTACCATTGCCTCCATTGGTAACATTTCTTCATACAGTTATTATATATAACAAGCAGAGTCAATGTCCAAAAAATAATTTTTTCCTTTTATATTTAATATATTGAAGAATCTTTTATCTGTTGAACACGTATTTCAGTGTTTCCTAGATGCAAGGTATAATGAAGCAAGCTGGAGAAAAAAAGGGGACAAGTGTCCACTCTCATGGAGTTTATACTGTAGTGTGGAAAACAGACCTTAAACAACTAATTACATAATTAGCTACTTACTTAATTACAATTGTGTTAAGTACTAAGAAGGATAGAAGGAGCTAAAGAAATAAAAAAAGATTTAACCAAGTTCAAAAAAGGGCAGGAGAAGGAGGCCATTGGAAGTTAAGAGTTTTCCTGAGGAAATGATGCTTAAATTAAGATGTAAAAATGGAGCAGGAGTAATTAGAAAAGCACATTTTTCACTGGGAAATGAGAAATCATCTCAGGTATATGGATGTTAAAAATAAGATACTGTGTCTCTTTAAAGGTTTGGAAGTCAGGATCTAGCCCAACACACCAAAGAATCAAATTAATACACTTCTGATAGTTTTCCCTAGAAGCTACAGTGGTTAGCTATTCCATGAAGTTAAAAAACTTTAAGAAAAACAACTAATAAAGGCCACGAAAATCTTAGTAAACTCAATTCCAAAACTACCAAGGTAATCTCAGCATCATACACTGAAGCTGTGATATTATCTTTTGGAACTTAAACAATTTGTTTTCTAATCCTACTGAGAATTTAAAAGGTAAACACTATAGATAGTTGAGACTCCTAAAATGTTGCATGAAAAATATAAACTGCACTGTAATTAAAATGTATTCAAATAATTATTTAAAAGTTTGAAGGTTTATGAATGAAAATTTTTTGTATAGAAAATATCATTCCATTATATACAGAGCCACCCTATATAACACCTTATAATTTTGTTTTTAAAAAGATTGCTTAAAAGTCCAAACAGCAGCTATTCAAATGGCTCCTCTCCTCCCTCACTTACAATAAAGCCTCTTAGAATTAAATAAATTTCTACCTGTAATGGCATTCTCAAAAGTTCTGGAGTTTGAAATTCCAACATATTCTGGAATCGGAGTCTACTGAATAGACGGAAACAAATTCCAGGTCTACACCGCCCTGCCCTTAAAAATAAAACATAAGATTAAGATTAAAACAAGGAATAAAGCCTATAATAAAGAAACTGTAAAAGTAATTTGGTTTTAGAGAAAAACCAGAATCAAGACATCTAAATTTGAATCCTTATTCTGTTACTTATCCTCTACAAATTCCTTTAGAAGGCACTTAACTTGTCTGGGACTCAATTATTTCATATACAGAGTGAGATTCATGAATAACATCTACCTGATATACCTTCTAGGGTTATGGTGAAAATCAAAAGAAATAATAGGCCAGTTGTGGCAGTACATATCTTCCCAAGGGGAGTACTTTGAAGGTGACTGTGGTGATATTCAGCTATGAGGTTACGTAGCATTTTTTCTAGGATGAATTCATGAACTTAATTGTTACTCTCATTATTAACAGACATGGAGATCAGTAATTATAGAAACTTTCATTGCCATTGTTTCAACAAGTATTTATTGAAAGCCTTCACTATGCAATGCTATACAGTGATGAATAAACTATAGTGTCACAGATAAAGATGGAAGTGGGACAAATGTTGCAATCCATCGTGGAGTCCAATAAATTAACCAATATAAATATAAACACATAATTATGAGCAAAAAAGTAAACATCAAATTTACAGTGAAGCTTGCATGGAAGAATGGTAAAATTATTGATGCTTTATGAAAAGTTTAGGAGGACTCTGTCCCCAAGAAAGGAGTTTAAAAATGGGTAAGAAGGGATGAGAAGATGTCGTAGATGAGGCCTTCAAGCACCAGATCATGCACATCAATCTGTGGGGGAAAAAAATTAATCTTATCTGTGCTCTAACTGAGGAGGACCGACTGATTTTAATAGCAGAAACAATAGCCAACACCAAAGACATCTCAATTGGTTTGGCTTACAAAGCAATTTTGGAACTCTTTTTCTGGAATGACCATAAGAGCTGCCATTGTATGACACATGAAAATATGTAACAATGAACAACACTCAGCAAACCAGTGCCACACACTGACATGAACACAGCTGTGTGACACTGACATACCAAGGTTATTAAACCTTACCAAGTTGTTTGTTCAGTGCTTGTTCACAGTGGTGAATTCACAAACTTCTTTTTTTTTTTTTCTTTTGAGACAGTCTCACCCTGGGTAGAGTGCCATTGTGACCTCAAACTGTTGGGCTCGAGTAACCCTCTTGCCTTAGCTGCCTGAGTAGCTGGGACTACAGATGCCCACCACAATGCCTAGCTAGTTTTTCTATTTCTGGTAGAGATGGGGTCTTGCTCTTGCTCAGCCTGGTCAGACTATCTACCTGCCTCAGCCTCCCAGAGTGCGAGGATTATAGGCATGAGCCACTGTACCCAGCCATGTTCACAAACTTAATTGTCAGACCTTATAAGATATTTTCAACAAATTTCAGTCAGATAAGCAAAAAACAGTAACTCCCTAATCTGGTATATATATATATAAGGTTAATGTATTAATAGGACATACATATTCTTTATTTTAGTAAACTGCCTATTTATGCCCTTTATCCATTTTAAAAGGATTTTTGGTCTTTATTTGATTTTAAAGAGTTTTTTAGTATCATTAGAAAATTAGCCCTTTGTCTCATTTTGCAAATATGTAGAATTTTTGCTTTATTTTTTAAACTTCTCAAATCTTCTGAGTGTGGATTATACTAGGCAAAAGTTTTTAATTTTAACATAATCTAAATTCAACTTTTAAAAAATAAAATGTTTTGACTTGGCGCCCATAGCATAGTGGTTAGGTGCCGGTCACATACATGGAGAGTGGCAGGTTCGATTCAGGCCTAGGCCAGCTAAACGACAACTGCAACAAAAAACAGCTGGGCATTGTGGCAGGCACCTGTAGTCCCAGCTACTTGGGAGGCTGAGGCAAGAGAATCTCTTGAGCCCAAGAGTTTGAGGTTGCTATGAGCTGTGACACCACGGCAACTCTACCAAGGGTGACACAGACTATCTAAAATAAATAAATAAATAAAAAATAAAATGTTTTGCTTTGAAAAAATGATATAAAATTATGACTAATGAGAAAATTAACATTTTATAGACAGATACACAATAAATATGAAATATATATGAAAGCATTTCCATTTTACAGTCAACTGAATGAATACACATTAAATATACATTACCTGCCTTTTCGCTGTATGGCACTAGCTTTAGAAATCCACACCATTTTTAACATTGTAACAAAATTCAGTGCATCAAAGGATTTCTGTAATATTTAAATATTTATGTTAAAATATAAAAAAATTTTAAGAAGAAATAGCAATGTTATCAACATATTTTAACATGCCAAGTTTAATTCAAAGTCCCCTCTTAATTCAATAGTTACAACAAAGTAGTGATTTTTTTTAAAAAATCCAGATTTTCAGTTTACAAATATTCTAAGGAAAAAGAATGAAAAGCTAAACTCAGAAGAGCTATAAAACATTCCCATTCTGTGCTTTGCTGAGCTATTTGTTTATCTTTGCTATGGCTGGATAATGACAGCTAGTTCTCACAAGACATCAAGATTGGAGATAACTGACCTATATCCTCTGGAGATCTGTTCTATCTCCCATTCATTGTAGGGAATAGAAGGGATCAAGGAAAGACATTTTCTGAAATACTTTTCAGAAAACTGACTTGGAGAAATAAGAATGACAATAACCACTAATCCTACCTTATAGCAAGGAATTCTTAATTCCTTCCACTTTAACTCCTGCTAAGCTACTAACAAGTTAGCCTACCTTGAATGTTACACAGAATATTAAATTTAAAAAAAAAAAACTATTACTACCCCCATACTTCCTCAAAGAACCTAAAGTTGAAAATTCACTGTAGGGAACTATTTTAAGGAAATATACGCCTAACTAAAAGATACACATCAATCATTCAGTGACTTAAACTTTTCCTTTCATAAAATTTACATAAAACAAATAAAAATGACCTCATAATAGTTTAATTACATAGAATTTTTTTTTTTT